ATGTCCTCGGGTGAGGATTAAAAAAAAAAAAAAATTCAGTCTGGAAAAGGCTTGTCACAAACCCGGGGCTCTTCCCCAGGACCAGGAGCAGTCACCTTTCTTGAAGGCTGTGTTGATTCCTCTGCCGTCCCCACTTCCTCCTCCTCCCACTCCTTAGATTCCAAGGCTGAGCTGGTCACAGGACAGAGCCGCAGAGGCAGCCGGCTGACCTCAGACTCGGAATCAGCAGGGAAATCAAAGGCTCTTCTGTGCCCGGCAGCCCTGCCCAGGTCTTGATGCAGGCACAAGGCTGAGTCATGCTCTCCAGGCCCCGGGGTTCTGTTCGCCCTCCTAGGTGTGTTTTCTGCCCTGTGCATGTTGCCTCCTTGTTGCAAAGTGGCTGCTGCAGCTCCAGCCCAAGTCCACTTTCCAGGCAAGAAGGCAGAGAAGGGGCAAAGAAAACCCTTTTTTCTTCTTTGTCTTCTTCTTTTTTTTTCCTTTTTTCTTCAAGGGTAGTCCTCCTTGGGGACTTGGTTTTATACCTCACTGGTCAGAACTGGGTCACATAGACAATGCTAATTGCAAGGGAGGCTGATAAATGGCATTTGTAAGTACTAGGTACTCATTGCTCTCGCAAACGAAGAGATGTGCTAGACAAGGGAAGGGTCTGCCCCAGCTCACTTTGCCACCTCTGAGGAGGTATGTCCCCCCCTTGCCCTAGGGAACAGGCCCCTGGTGGCTTCCACTGCATGGCCTGCCTGAACATGAGGCCACCCCCAGGGCTTAACCACTGGCAACTGGCAGCTTCTCCTGGGGCAGGGGAGCTGCTGTCTGCCGGGCGACATGTACCTCCAGCTTCCGTGGCCTTGGGAGTTTTGCTGAGTTGCTGGCTTCTTTGATGACACCCCACCCTTTTCACCACTCACCATGCCCCCTGCCCTAGGTGTGAGGACACAGTGGTTGCCCAGAAAGGTACACAGTTGATCTTTCCTCCTTCTGTTCTTGGGCAAGGGCCAGAGAGATGGCCCTTCCTCAGCAGCTGATGCCGTGGGCTACGGGCTTCTCCCCGCCTGGGTGTCGGCCTGGCTGCACCAGCTGCTTCCCGAGCTCCCCCTCTTCTGCACCTCGGCCCCTGGACAGCACTGGCCAGGAGAGCCCCGTGCGGCGATGGCGGCAGTCTCTGTGCTCTTGAAATGTGGCAAGTTCCTCGTCATTAATTTGCACATCAATAGCCATGTGTGACCAGCAACTGTCTCCCTGTCTCATAGAGCAGAGCAAGGACCCTGTTCCTGCCAGGGCGGAAATGCACCCTCCATACATTCACCTAGATTCGTAGAGTGGGTCCCTCTACGGGCACCGATAATACCAGGTCCAGAGAGGGACAGTGACCTGCTTTGGTCACACAGCGAGTGGCAGGAGCCGCCTCTTCCAACTCCAGCTCCCCCACTGTTTCTGAGGAATGCCATTGCTCCCCTCCGTGAGGGGGGAGGGGCTTGTGGGGATGATGAGTCGTGGGTTTGGGGCACCGACAGTGCTCACTGGGCTGAACACGTTTCAGTGTATTACACACGTGTGTCTCGTGTATTCCCATCACCCCCCTTTTCCAGGTGAGGCAGCCGAGGCCCAGGAGAGGAAGGGCCTGTCTCCTGCCCCGGAGCCCATAAACCACGGGCTGGGGGTGTTCGAGGCTCTGTGATTGCAGTCCCGGAGCTGTCACGAATCTGCCCCTGAAGGTCCCGGGTGTGTGCCATCCGGGCTCCCACACCCGGCCGGGGCAGGCGCTTGCGCAAACCCCTCTCTCCGCGTTGTTTTTCCAGCCTGTCTCCTAGGACTTGGATCCTGCGGGCACCACACCTGGTGTCCCGCCCTCCTGCCTATCCAGGGCCCGACCTGAGGGGCGGGTCTCAGTGGCAGGTACACCTGTTAGAAAGCTGAGCACAGGAGAAGGGCACCTGGGCCCATCCTGCTCTCTGCTTTGTCCTAAGTGCAGGGACCCAGAGCAGCCTGCGCCTCCACCTCCGACCCCTGGGGGCTCCAGCCACGCCCTTCCTGGGATCGCCCTATTCCAGGTGCCGGAATGGGGGGGGGGGTAGGGTTACTGGATGAAACAGCACTCAGATTTCAGATGAACAACAAACAAATCATCCGTGTGACTGTGTCCATGTGATGTTGAGGAAATACTTACACTAAAAATTACTTGTGAAGCCGCTGAAGTTCAGCTTTAATGGTGCTCCTGGGGTTTGCTTTGTTTTGTTTGCTCGATCAGGCAGCCTGAGTGGGTGGCGTTGTCCCCAGGCAGTGTACGGACAACTGAGATTCGGAGAAGTGACGGGCTGGGGGATGAACAAGGTCAAGATAAGGCCCTGGCCGGGACTGGATTGGGCTCCTGGTCTCTCGGAATCCTCTGATCTCTGCGTAGACACAGTTAAACACATTTCTGGCTTCCTCGGGGCAGTTTGGGGAAGGCTAGGAGTCATACTCTTTAAAAACGTCAAAACAGCCCTGTTTGGCTTAGTGGTTGGAGCATCAGCCTGCAGACCAGAGAGTCCCGGGTTTGGTTCCCACTAGGGGCACGTACCAAAAAAAAATTTAAAAATAGCCCTGGCCAGTTTGGCTCAGCGGTTAGAGCATCAGCCTGTGGTCCAGAGAGACCCGGGTTCGGTTCCTGCTAAGGGCACGTACCTCAATTGCGGTTTGTCCCCGGCCCTGGTTGGGTTGTGCGGGTGGCAGCCACTCGATGTGTCCCTTTCACGTCGAATTCTCTCTCTCTCTCTCTCTCTCTCTCTCTCTCTCTCTCTCTCTTCCCCTCTCTCTCCCTCCCACTCTATCTGAACAAAAAATGGAAAAATGTCCTCAGGTGAGGATAAAAATAAATAAATAAATAAATAAAAAATAAAAACGTCAAAACAAATCTGTCCTCCACCTGCCCGGATATGTTAGCAGTCACACCTCACTGTGAACTAGGCTTTGGGTGACAGTTGCGTGGGAACAGACCCTGGCAGGATGGGCGACCGGAGAGAAATGGTGAAGGAGAGAGTGTCTTGATCCATTCAGGCTGTTATAAATAAAACGCCGCAGGCTGGATGCTTACAAACAACAAAAGTGTGTTGCTTCAAGTTCTGGGGGCTGGAGGTCCAAGTTCAAGGCTCTGGCAGGGGCCCTCCCCCTGGCACATAGGCAGCTGTCTTTTTGCTGTGTCCTCGCATGGTAAAGGGGCCAGGGAGCTCTCTGAAGTCTCTTAGACAGGCACTCATTCTATTTCTGAGGGCTCCAACCTCAACCTCCCAGAGGCCCCACCTCCAAATATACATTAGGGAACAGCTTTCAACATACACATTTCCAGGCCATGGCAGGGAACAGTAATGAAAACCCCAAAGTCTTAGATACTGCTGGAGATGGTGAGCCAGGGCTGGGTACAGAGGGGTGGCAAGGGTTAAGACCTTTTATAATCTGACCCCAATATGCTTTTCCAGGCTTCCTCTTGTTCTTTCCCACCTTGTACCCATTTGTTGGTCACCCAGGGACCTCTGGCTCTCCAGCCTCTTTGCCTTGACCTCTGCTGCTCCCTCTGCTCACCACCCTTCCCAACCCCTCTTCCACGTCCCCTCTCAAACGTCCTTGTGCCCTAAGCAGGTACAGCCACTGCTTTTTATATGTATTTGTGTGTTTTCCTTTCACTCACCAGAGGCTCCCTGAGGCCCAGGGTGCTCCTGGGTCCTTTTAGACACCCTGTGCCGGGCCTGCCGGGTAGGTGGCCCACAGATGTTTGCTGGAATGAGGGCAGGGGAGGGGCCCCAAAAGCAAACCTCCTACTTTGCAGTTTTGCCCAGAGACTTGGACAGTTCCCAGCCTCCATGCGGGTCGATGGCAAAGCAGCCAGACACTCCCTTGCAGACAGCCTGCCTCCTGGGGATGTGGGTTCAGAGCCATGTTCGCAGTGGGGTCTAGGGGTGCTAACCTGAGGGCGGGCCCTGTCTGTGACATGCACCCGGGACTCCCCAGAACCTACGGAAGCATCTGGCAGGCGGCAGGTTCGATAAACTCTTGTTGGGTGTGTGGATGGGTGGAGGGCGTCACTCTCCGGCCACATGTGGTCACACACCCCTTGGTGAAGGCCCGCTCTGGGGGAGCTGTGCCCCTTGGTATCTGGTTGCTCGGGACCGGACCTGCGTGTGGCCTGCGGGACCAAGGCGCACCTCTGGGCACCTTCCCAAGGCTCCCAGGCCCGAGGGGTGCTGTGCTCTCCCTGGTCTCATTCCGGGCGCGCACGCAGGTGGGGTTGGGTTTAAGTGCCTTAGAAACCTCTGCACGTGGTGTCGCCGTCGGTCCCGCTCACCAGAGCCCCATTTCCTGCACACTCGTGTGAATGCCGACAGCCTGTCTCTTCAGGGCTGCGGACTTCTGCGTGTTTCGTGAGCCACGCTGGGTGTGCCTTTCCAGCGGCGTTTCCCAGATGTCAGACTGGGGGCTCGGGCTCCGGAGTCGGCCGGGTCTGAGTTCCAATCCCCGCTCTGCTACCTAAACTGTGACCGTGTGGAGCTGCTTACTCTCTCCTAGCCTCGGCGTCAGAATCAGTGAAGTGGGGGTTGGGGCAGGACCTGCCTCCGGAGGGTTGGGTAGGATTGAAGGAGAGCACGCGTGTTCAGCTTACCTGGGCACGCCGCTGGCTCGGGGAGGCGATCCGACTCCCGCCGGCTCTTCAGTCCGCTCTTGCTCCTCCCTTAGGGGGCGAGGGCCTCGGCCGTTGCGGGACGCTCCTGGCAGTGACAGCAGCCCTAGAGAGCAGACGGGGCGGGGGGGTCCCCCCAGGAGCACTCTGCAGGCTGAAGTGCGCCCAGGACTGGATCCGGGGCTCTTTGGAATAGGTGGTGGCTTTGGGGGTTTCTTTGCACACATGTAGGACGGGCCCTGAGGGCAGAGCATTCGGGAACAACCAAAGCGCCGAGGAAAGCTGTCCCCGGAGAGAGCGAGCGAGCACGAGCCAGCGTCCCCTGCCTCTAACCGTGTGCCTTCTCCCCTAGTGCTCCTGCGGGAAGAAGTGTCCCGGCTCCAGGAGGAAGTCCACCTTCTCCGGCAGATGAAGGAGATGCTGGCGAAGGACCTGGAGGAGTCACAGGGCGGCAAGTCCTCCGAGGTCCTCTCGGCCACCGAGCTCAGGGTCCAGCTGGCGCAGAAGGAGCAGGAGCTAGCCAGAGCCAAAGAAGCCCTTCAGGGTGAGTGACAAGCTGGCCTGGTCTCCTTCCCCTGCCTGGGGCTCGGGGGAACCACGGTGCAGCCTCTGCCGGGGACCGACGTGGGCACGGGGGTGTCCCAGCACCCAGACCCCCAGCCGAGGCTGCCCTGTCCTTTTCGGGGTGGAAAGCTACTCTTGCCATGTGGGCACCTATGTCATCCTATCCTCCCGTGTGACCCACACTGTTCTCCTTCCTGGCCAGTCAGGGGGCAGCTTCCCCCAAGGCGTGTAAGGCAGGTGGGTGGGCATCTTTGCTGAACCAGGGTGCCCACCCAGCCGCTGGGTGTCCCCTTTCCCAGCACCCTTGGGGCCTTCCTCACCTCCCCTCACTGGATAGGGCATGCGTGCTGGGTTCTCTGCAAGAGGGTGCGCCGGTCCCCTGCACGGCACAGGCTCACGCAGTGGGCTCTCCCAGGGGGCTTGAGGTCCCCTCGAAGAGGGGGAGCCTCCGGCCCTGGGAAGGTGGAGGAGTTGGGAGAGAATGTGGTGTAGGTAGCCAGGTGGTCTCTTGCCGAGATGGACCACAGACCCTCAGCCAGAACTGCTGTGGGAAATAAGCCCCTGGGCCCAGCTGCTCTCTGTAGGGCTGGCCCGCGACCCCTCCACCTGCACACCGTCTCGAGGAGCCAGCGGCAGCTCTGCGGTGGAGGGGTCTCGAAAGGCCCTTTGAGGAAGGTGGGCAGCCCTCCCCTGACAGTGCTCAGAGCTCCAGCCCGAGACACCGGCGGGAGAGCAGCCTGGGAGCTCGGCCTTGATGCGCCCCCCCCCCGCCCCCCGTCTTTGCTTCTCCTGGGGAAAAACAAGGCAATAAAACTCGGCAGCCTGCTCTCCGCTCACATTTGCTAGAACGATAAATACTCTCTGAGGACTTCACTTTTGAAGCCAAAGCAGGTTAATTACTTAGATTGATTTCAGGCTGTTGTAGCAGAATCGCCGAAACAGGGGGGCTTAATGAGTCTGTCTCTAACCCTGAGGAGCAGTGTGGAGCGGTGGGTGTCTCTGTACCCTAGCCTGTGAGAGACCCAGGAAAAGAGCCCAGACTGGGGGTCAGAGGTGCCCTCGGGCAGCAGCGTGGTCTCGAGGCCGTGCCAGGCTGCAGGGCGTGCTGGTCAGGGTCATTTCTAGCAGTGCATCCCTGTCCCGGCCGCATGCCTACCTGGGCAGGGCGGGGCGGGTGGATTTTGCTGGGCAGTTAGTCAGCTCTGCCTTTGCAGGTTCCCTGCCAGGGGGCGGGCGTGGGGAGCAGTGAACACCCGCACGCAGGCTGAGCGGCTGTCCACGCAGCACACTGACAGCGCCCCGGGAGCCGGGAGACCGTCTTTGAGGCCGGCTCCCCACGCAGATGGTCAGCACTCCGTGTACACGGTGCTTCCGGCAACACAGTGCTCTGAAAGGCAGATCCTTTCCCGCTGGGGCTTTGGCCCGTGGGGTCACTGAGACAGCGTTCTGGGTGGTCTCTTCAGGCCGTGGCGGGCAGGTGGTCTGTGTTACGGTCCCCTTGGCCCTGCATGGTGGGGGAGTCCTGGGGCCAAGCACACATGCTTTCTGTAGGCAGCCGTCCAGGCGTCGGGTGGATCTGTGTGAGCCCCCCGCCCCCTCGGCTGCCCAGGAGCCTCAGAACATCCCTTCCCTTCCCGGGAGGGGACCCCGTCTCAGGAATGCCCCTGAAGAGGTGCCGCGGGGCCCAGGTGGTGCAGACTGACTCCCTCTGGGCTCAGCGTGGTGAACCTGTAGAGTCGGGACTGTCTCGGCCACTTTTGCCAATATTTGCTGCAGGGACGATGGGAAAACCTGCCTTCCCCGTCCCTGGCCAGGGAAAGAATTCTCTTTTTGCCCTCTGGACATGTGGGGAGGAGAAAACCTCTCAGCTGTTCCGCCCCAGAGGAACAGAGGGAGTGAGCAGAGGTTCATGCACTCCACTCCCCAGCTCCCCGGACAGACAGCCTGCCCTCTCCAAACCTGGGCCAGCCACGGCGAATTAAATGACATAATGTCTGTGAAGGTGCCGGCGCCGCGCCTGCCCGTACGTGAGAGCTGGCTGTTCGTGTGCCATGCGGGCCGGCAGAGCACAGAGCCGCGGGCATTGCTTCCTGGCTGGGCCGGGAGATTTCTTATGTCACCAGAGGTCTTCCCAAGGACCCAGAGATCGGCCTGTGTGGAGGGCTTGTCAGGGTTCCTTAAAGGAAAGCTTTATTGAGCACCTACTGTGTGCTCTGTTCTGAGCACTTGATCGGCCATTCACTCCAATCCTGCTGGGAGCTTGGCACCCCGTTTTACAGATGGAGACACCTGACTGAGATTTGGGGAAGCTAAGTAACTCGGCCAAGTTTACAGAGCTTTTTCCCCAACACTACACAGCGTGTCTTCTGGGGATGAAGTCAGCCTGGACAAGAGAGATGGGACACTGTTGTGGCTCAGTAATAGGACAGTAGACTCTGGAATCAGATCTAGACTTGGACCCCAGCTCTACCACTTACTAGCTGTGTGACCTTGGGCAAGTCCCTGAATCCCTCTGAACCACAGCTCTCTCACTAAGGGTAACAGTAACAATACCTGTTTTTCTTATCATTGGGGCCAGTCATAGCAGCTACTCCAGAGGGTTGTTGTGAGGATTAAATGAGATAGAAAGTGCTTGGCCCAGTGCCTAGAACCATTAGTGCAAATACATAGCGATTATCACCTAAGAGGGGGCTTAGCAGACCTCCTTGGACCTGCTTGGAGTTTTGGTCTCCTGATTCCCATTTGGGGTGGCCCAGACCTCAGGGCCCTTGAGCCCACCCAAGCTCAAGGTAATCCGTGTTCCTGAAAAGCAGAGGAGTGGGCACCTTCGGCCACTGGAACATCCTGCCTGCCGTTCTGCACAGTCTTAATAGGATGCTTCCTCCCAGCCACAGCACGCGGGGAGGAAATTGCAGGCAGATGTGGGCAGAAGGAGGATGGGGCATGAAAAGGGATTTATATGCCCGTAATGAGGAGAACGAGAATAAACGCACCAGCCAAGTCAGCGGCAGATGTTGGGCGACACTTGTTAACCACCGGGGTCCCTGCGGTGGGAACACGCAGAGCCCGCGGAGACTCCTGGCGGGTCTCCGCCCACCGCCCCCAGTCTTCGGTTTGGAGTTCGACGAGACCCGTTTTCCAGCACATAAGGGCTAGGAGCTCAAACAAACACCCGAAATGTCAGCCCATGTCTCCAACATCAAAGCCACAGGAAGAATCTGGTTTGGGGAGAATGGGGTTAGAAGGTTCATTTGTTTCTGTGGGGATGTATCCGGGAATGTTTGGTTTAGGATCTTGGTCTCCCTGTGAAGTTACAGGCAGAAGCAGAGTCAGAGTAATTGTTTAGGAAAGAATGGTGGGTGGTGGGTCTGCGCGTGCGTGCATCCCTGAGTCCCTGTGTGACCCCAGCCCCACACATGTGATGAGCCTGTGGCTCCTGAGACCCCTTTAGGGCATCTGTTGATTTCCCCAGGCCCCTCTCAATTGCATGGATTTCTCTGAGGATCAAGGCTCTGTAGAAATGACGATCGTGAAAATTTGCTTCTTCCCTTTTTTTAATCACTTAATGGCGTGTCGAGGGTGCTGAGCATCCCCACAACAATAATGACTCTCAGAAAACGTAAGTTTTAGTGACGACAGAACGTTCGGCCAGAGGGAGGCACCAGCACTTACTTCGCCGCTTCCCCGATGTCGGATGTTGAAGTGGTTCCCACGTGTTTCTGTTTGTAGAGCACTACCCTAACGATCGGTGTTTGTCAGTCTGTCCGTTTTCTTAGGACAGTATTTCTCAGAGTTTCTGGTCGCTGGACCGTGGTATGCTCTGACAAAGTGGAGGACCCCAAAGAGCTTTTGTTTCTATGGTTTAGATCTGTCGTTATTTGGAAACTAAAACTGAAAACGTGACTACTCAGACAACAGTAATGGTGACTGCCAGAGGGGAGCGGGGAGGGGGGAGAAGGGGGTACATGGTGATGGGAGGAGACTTGACTTGGTGTGGTAAACCCACAATACAATATACAGATGATGTATTGTAGAATTGTATGCCTGAAACCTATATGGTTTTATTAACCAATGTTACTCCAATAAATTCAGTGTAGAAAAAAAAATGAAAACATCTCTAAACCTTCAATAATTTATTTTAAAATAACAATAAGCCCATCACATGTTAACATAAATAAAGTTGTTTCTAATGAAAAATAAGTACATTTCCCCCCAACAAATAGATTTAAGTGTGAAGGGCAGCATTGTTTTATAATTTTACGAAATCTTTTTAATGTTCGACTTCATAAGAGACTGCTGCTGACTTCTCCTGTCTGCTCCTTCAGTCGGGCGACTGTGATTTGTTGCTTTGCTTGAAAATCTGACAACACACATCCACAATCAGAAAAGGGAGGCGTTTATTAATTGCCTCATTTGGTAATTGTGGATACTTCTTTAATGCCACGCTAAAGCGCACCAAATGGTAGTTTCTTAGAGGTCTGAAGCCTTATTTTTGTAATACATTATAGTGGTCAAAGCCATTGGTCTAATTTGTACTTGGAATGGATTTTACACCCACATATGATTTTTTAACATCTTACATGGATCACTTGGAAAATATTAGTTCACTGAAGGAAGCAGATCTTCCAAATGGTGACGTATTTCATTATGCATTAAGAAAAAGTCTTTAAGCCTTGAGAAGCTGTTAAAGTCGTGGTAGCAGGTCGTGTTTGCCAGAATTCTAATTTTTGCTCAAAAGCTTAAGTTTCATTATTGGCAACAAATACTGTCAGTTGTTTTCCTAGAAGTAACAGGCTCACTTGCTTCATTTGTTAACTTAGTTCAGTAGTTTGCCAGACACCAAAGTTTGCATGTTAGTCGTTATGTCAAGTACAAATGGCGCTCTTTGAAAAAGAGGCTAGTTGAGCTAGCAACTCAGTCCCACACATGTTTTTCCTCAAGAAAACCACTGTTCTTTGCTCTGTGGCAAAAGAGATTTAA